ATCCTTTGCGCCGCGTTTGAACACAGACGAATTCTGAAATTGCACGCGTTTTCGCGTATCTCATTACGAAAATCTATTGTAATTCCCATCCTCGCGTCGACTTTTGTCGCGATCCGTTCACATTCAAAAGCGCGTTCGCGTCCCCGCTGGATGAACATTATCTTCGTTAATTTATTAAGTATCACGCCGAAAGCAAACGCGTATTAATGCACGCGCGATAATTACGACATCATTGCGCACAGTTTCGAATTATTTCCACTGTCTGTTCCTTCCATCGTCTTCCGTCTGTTTCTTCGTTCCCCGGCGAATACTTTTTCCACACTTTCCTACGAACCTTTCAACATACGATTACAGTGGAAGCGACAGTGTTCTCAGAGACATCGTCGTTCTGATAAATACGCCAATATTATTCTCGCGAAAGTATTCTACGACACACGTAGAGACCTTTTCACGAATGTAATTGTGTGCATTGAAAATTTGATTCGAAATTTCGATCGGTGATTGAGATTCGATTATTATGATTTTGGAGGATATCGAATTTCTTGGGCAGAGAATTACAAAAGTTATTTCAATTTTTCATCCCTCCGGATGATCGCTGCTGATGTTGCATACTAACGCTTTTCATCGTTAGAGACTTAACAGTCTCATTATACTAGAAATGAAATTTCGAAAATGCTTCGTACAACACACATGCAATATAAATCTCTCATTCTTCGAGACACGCGAGCCACACGTTTCCCTGAAACTTCTCGACCCCTCTGCCGAGATCGCGAGATTCTTAAATGTTCGAGGACGTAAGCCACCAGACGTTACATATTTCATTGAAGAGCGTTCTATTTCAGCGATGACCGCGTAATGTCATCTATCTCTCAGCCGTCTAATTTCGACTAGTCGCGGAGCGTTACATAGACACGGGGATCGACAGTGGCAAGTGAATAATGAATATCGTCTTTTCCATTATCCGTGCCTCTATTTTAAGTATATACTCCCCTTAATCAATTATCGGCGGAAGTTTGAGAATACCGCGTCCGCCGTTTTATCGCGTTATTTGAAATCGTTCGAGCGTTTTCGATTACCGATCCTACCTTAACACGAGAATGGGAGTTAAGAGAAGCTGAAAGAAGAGAAGCAGCATCATTGGCCAAACGGGCATATTCATTGATCCGTTTAATAACCGTGGTTCCAGATGGAATATGGGATCTGGAGTTTTCACGCCGCGGGTGAACTTTGGGGTGACCCGCGTCTCGCCCGAAGGCACCCGATTCTACCACCAAGTGCGACGCAGTTGCTACCGAGGGCCGCGTTCGCCCTGAGCGGCCTCCACCGACCGGACATGGTGCCGTTGCCGTTGACTTCCGCCGGGCCGCCGTACGGACCTATGGAACTAGTTACGAAACGGGAAACAGGCGAACAGGATACCGAGAAGAACGAGGAGAAGGAAGAGGAGAAACTGGACGACAACGAAGGGAACATCGAACCAGCGGACGAGAATGATAATCAGGTACGATTATCCTTTTTAGGTTTAGGGTGAACCCTTTCGGTACGAGCGCCGGATATATCTGTACTGGTGACCTGTGTGTACTTATATAATTCCAGTGTTACTTGTATAATTAACAGAATTTAATATAAATGTCTTTTAACATTAAAAACTAACGACATTTGTTAGAAGAAACATTGTTTTATCAAGCACAGTTCTTA